GAAGCCCATTATTATTAGCAACCGGGACGACCCTTTCTTTCTCCTTAAGGAAGGATTTAATAAGGGTGGAGAGTGAATCGACCGCGGTGTCGATTTTTTCGGAACTGCCTAAGTCCGACGAGAGGGAGTTAGGGAGTCCTGTGAGTCCAGAGCTTTAGCTAGGGACTCCTTGAAGCCCTTCCAATTAGTGAAGGTTTTCGTGGTGGGTGTTGAAGGAGGTGGCTGATGGCCAAGAATGAGAGACAGGTCGGTAGTCGGATCCTAGATCGTCTAGTGTCTCGATTGCCCTAAGGTTGAGGGAAAATCCTTTGACTAACGCGAAGTCTAGCATGTCGGGAGCGTGGTCAGTGTTATCGGGATAGTGAGTAGCACCGAGAGGACTGTAGACTGTAAGGTCAAGAGACTGCGTGATATCAAACAGTTTCTTGCCACTATGGGAGGTAGTACGGCATCTCCATTCAGTATGCTTGGAGTTAAAATCTCCAAACATAGTGACTGAATTGCCAAGAGATAAAATAGCCTCAAAATCTTTTTTTTTTTGAGACTCCCGCAGTTTTTGAGGGGGAGGGTTCCACAGGGGATGTAACAGGAGGCTATGACGATGGACTGATGTCCAGTCATAGCTAGCCTGCATACCGTGGCTTCCATGTTGGTAAGCTGCGGAGTAGAAATGTGAGGGCAATGAAGTGTCTTCTTGTAATAAATGGCCGTACCGCCGCCTTGGCGGTCGGGTCTGTCATTACAAAGAAGAGAAATCTTTGAAAGGAAAGGCCTTTAATGTCCTTAGTTTTGAGATAAGTTTCCTGGAGGAGGAGAAAATCAGCTTCGCGATCTCGAAGAAAGAGCTTAAACTCTGGGAGGTAATTTCGCAAACCGCGAATGTTAAAAGATACAAGCGATAAACCTTTACGTTTGATATGACCGTGAGATTTTTGGAGAGCAGAGTGCTCTGCCATTATAAAATGCAACTTTAATTTATTTTATTTAATTTAACTTAAATCAAATAAATTCAAGTTACAATGAGCACAAAAGATTGTGATGCTCTGCAAGAGTGAGGAGACGGTCCTGAGGGGACCGAGCAGCGCGCAGTTTGCGTGCTAAGACAGCGATCTCCCCAATGTCGATGTTTCTAATAGCGGAGTAAACCGTATTAAGGTCGTCAACCATTGAGGGCTGTGACTGATGAGGGGCGGAGGATGTCCGCGGTGGGTCGGCCTTTTTGGGGAACACTGGTGGCTGCGAAGGCTGTGAGAAGCCCGGAGGGGGCCGAAGAGGGCCCTGAGGGGGCCTTGGGGACCCTGAGAGGGTCGAGAAAGGCCCTGACGGGGCATTCTTTGGTAGAGGACCGGGAATGACCTGTCATTAACCGGCGGTGGAGCTTGCCAACTGGGACGAGGATGAGGTGCGTAAGGGCAGCCTCTATAGTTTGCCGGGTGGCCTGTTTCGGATTCGACGTTTTGCGGCTGAGGACACTATTTCGAGTTGTGAGGATCGATGCACTTAACGCACCTGGGTGGAGTGGAGCAGTTGGCCGCCGCGTGACCATAGAGTTAGCAGCGGTGGCACTGCGCCGGGAAACCGCGCCTATGTGAAGGCTCAACCCTCACTCTTGACAGGCCGCACACTGTGCGTACCTGCCGGAAGATGGCTTTTGCCTCCGGGACGTTTGTGAGAATTACAAGGGCAAGCGGGAATCGTTTGCCTTTGTTGCTGTGCATTTTGTGCACGGCCTCAACGGTGAATCCTTGGGACTTAAGGTCCTCAAGGATGTCCTCGATGGCGAGCAAGTAACGTATTCCAAGAAACAATAAACACGGTATACAATAATAACAACAAATAAAAACAAAAATCAACAACAGTTAACAATAAAATAACTGAAAAATCAACAATAAAAAGCAGAGGTCAGTCAAACCTCCTCGACCGGTAGGCGGGGGGGGGGGGGCAAGAACTGAAAGTTATCTTTAAAAAACTCACCAAGGCGTCGGCGCTGTACAGCGCGAGCAGAACAGCGGAGGCGCGAAAACGTGAGGGCACTAACGTACGGGGACGATATTGCGGTCTACCTGAACACGTCTGCTCGAAAGCGGCGGCGCAGGCGGAATGGAATAACGTTCGGGCCATCCACCCGCTTATATAGGCAAAATGAAGGAATAATCTGGAATAAACTAGTTTTGAATAATTGAGAAGCAATAAATCTTTTGATGTGTCGCTCGTGAGGCGGCAAACATCAAATCCTTTGATAATTTGATGTATGCGGCCTCACTGTCACTCCCGTGAGTATAAGTACCTAATGTAATATTTTTTAATTGGGTTTTTTCAAAATGTCTCGCGGGCCGGATCCGGACCGCGGGCCAGTTGTTACCCATATATTATGATTTATGCCGTGTTGTGGTAGTGAATATTCCATCACCACATTTTATCCCGCTGTATAAGTATCTGGTTTGTTACATATAACGTAAAATAGATCGTTGAAGGGCAACAGAGTCAGAGTTGCGCGACGTCTGACACTTCGGTCGTCAATCCGCCTGGTAAGCGTGACGATTAAGGCTAATCCTCCACTTTACGCCGAAAGAGGCCAATGTCTAGCAAGTGGAAAAGAAAGAAGAATGTATATCGCCACTGGAGCACTTGTTATGTCGTTTCCACTAACACACGTTCGCAAATCACTTACAAAAATTCACTCAAAATTCAAAAACTAAGCCCGGGTAACACAGTGCTACTCCAACATTTGGTTGTGTTAACTAACTCACTTCACGGAGTCGAGTGAGTCAACTCACATGTTGTGTGGAAACTAGTAACTCACAACTCAGAACGCTAACAGAGGTCTCAGTCTAGTTTAATGTAATTATCTAAGTGTAGAGGGGTAGTCGGCGCACGTTGAATGCTTCTGTCGAGTTCGCAAGGCGATCAACAGAGATGCTAAGTCTAAAAAATATTTCACGCCAAATCAACGTTTAGAAAATGCCAAAAATATGCTAAAATATTATATTATAGTAATTTATTTATATATGATATATAGTGGACTGCTGATAAAAATGCGAAAGTGAATTACGAAGTCATAGATTAGTTTTAACAAAAATAATTAATTTTAACATATTTATGACAAATGAAAAAATTGCTAAAAAAATCCTTGATAAATCGATTAATGCTTACACTTCTAAAATATATAAAGTAATCAACTAAATACATAGAACAACACCGGCCATCGATGGACCGGAGGGAAATAGCCATACGCAAGTATTCGCCTCTGTCAAAGTATAAGCCCAGGTGGTCCTAAGCGTACAATAAAATTATATAATTGCAGCTGCACTGCTTACTAAAACACGGTAAAAGCGAAAGCAATGACAGCTTGTATTAGCTGGTTTGTTTGTACCTGGTTTGTATTAGTATTTATCGCAGAATTAGGTCCTACTAAAACATTGGTTTTGACACGTATTGCACGTAGTCGGCGGGCGAGTTGCAAATGATGATTACATTAATGAACGGGTTATTAAAAGGAAGGGGAATGAAAATGAATGCAAGTAAGACGAAAGCGATGGTTTTTTTAAAGAAAAGAAAATAAAACGATATGTGAAATAAGAATAAAAGGGGAGTTGTTTGAGCAAGTGGATGAGTTTGTGTATTTTGGATGTGTGATTAGCAGGGATGGTACACATGATAAGGATATGGCGTCGAGTGAATGCAGGACACACAGTAAATGGCGCTATTCACTCTGTTGTGGGAAGTCAGAATGTGTCACAAAAGGTACATATGGCAATTCACAATGTTGTGTTAGAAGAAGAAGCATGAAAGTAAAATGAATGCTGTAGAAATGCGATCATTTGTCCTTGAACAGTCACAAGGCATTCAATTAATGGGCGACAGTAGGAATATCTGCTTAAGAGCAGGCAAAGGTTATATTATGAATTTTACTATAAAAGGTCATACAATCCTAGCGTGGAATTTAGTGAATATGTAAAAATATATTCTACTTACTATATTTTAAAGAGCTCCACAGAGAAGTCTTTGCATTCTTGCAATAAAAGTGTGCCAGAATTGTGCTAAATGGAAGTTCGTAGTCTCTGCCTAACTCTGAGTAACAGGCGTGAGAGTTTATGCGCATATATATAATGAACAATGTATATGTACCATACCATTTATTTACATACGTCTCGCTTTTGTTTTACAATTTAGAAGTACAGTATGTATTGTAAGTACCCGCGTATTTTTGTCGTCTTCATTGAAGCACATTTTTTTTATAGGATAAGGGTGACCAACGAGCACACAGTCCACCTGATGGTAAGTGGTCGCTGTGGCCCATAGACATCTACATCTATCTTCGATTAAGTCAAAATGCAGATGCGTTGTCACCCGTGAGGACTAAGATGGAATGCCTCGTTTCCAGTAAAAAGGGTCTCCGGTTCTCTACACTCACCATATGAAACACAGCAGCGTTAAGCTGCTATTTTACGCTGGTATTCTGTGAGATGTTTCGTTATTTTCATTTATTGTACATACGCAGACAGTTCTTCAAATCTCACCACTTTTAAGTGCCTAGCATCGTTGACGTAGCTTTTGCAGATCAGATATCTATTTATTGCTTCATGTCCATGATAACGCTTAAACGCATGCTTTTCTTTATTAATTGTTATTATTTTATTTTTCCACTTTTTGTTATAAATAAAAGTATACATCTTTGTTGTAATTGAAACAATTTCAAAAAATAACATAATCTGCAGTTGTTTTATTAATCTATAAATAAAGATCCATAGATTAATGATAAGTCATCGCGCGCTTGACTTATTATTAATCTATGTAAAGATCCATATTACACAGATCAATGAAACAAGACAATCGTCAGTTGCAACTTTCAAATTTCTGAACCCACATATTTAATCTACAATATATAAATATTTAGTTTTATAATAGCTATTAATTACAGAAGTTATAAAGTAACTAGACTGCATAAGATCTAAAGTAACCCTTCTTACTTGTAGCTAAGAGAATATGGAAATAATGGCAACATTAGGCAATATAAATCCTATTTCTACCTACAAATAAAATTAACAATGACTGCAATGAGGGCTAATAATTTTCTGCTCATCAGATAAAGATAAAGTTTTTTTGTTACACAATGTAATTTAATTGAGAAATTGTTTTTAATAAAATTTTATCAGTTTCTAGTGTACTATAATACGCGAAACAATGCGTCAGTGCTTTGCTCTTTAATTTTTTTGCACATTTTAACTTTTTTTATTTTTCTACTTTTATGAATATCTGTGGTTATGTTTATTTATTTTTAATATTATTAATCTAAAATATGGCTAATAGTACAGAAAGAAACAATAACTTTTACATTCTCCGAACAAATTAACCTCCCCGCCATGAAATCTGTCAAACAATAGAACTCAATTTCTAATGGTGCCGCCCTGGTTACAGAAAAAGTCGTGGATGCCCTCATTACTATAAAACATAGTTCATAATAACATAATATACACTACCTACGTCTCTATCAATACACACATATCTGTTATATTTATCAAATTTGTAGCTACCTACCTACTCTATGATACATGTTTATATTACCAGAGAATATCATTGAATTCTTTTTATTAGTACTAAGCACTCTGTTGTCGTCTGGTCCGCCCGTATCATGTCTGATAAAGGTAAGATAATAATTTGCTATACTTCATAAAATTATAAAATAATTTATAAAGAGTTTACCTAGGTACACATCTAACAAAACTAAGGTGAAATAATTGAAATTTTTAATCTTCAAAAGATACCACTATATCACGATATCACTACGTACCTACTTATTTATTTGTCTATAAAACTCAACGCAACCTTCATCAATATTCAATGAAGAACTATATTATAATCAATGTAACCTTCTTACCTTTTTGCTTTAATTTAGGCTACTACTAGCAAATTGTTTTATTTAAATAATACAAAACAAGTTAATTTAATAAAAAGTAAGACATATCTACTTAACATAAGTTACAGATTCTTCTATATATTTGTGCTTATATCTATTTAACGTAATATTCACGCATTCAAGTATATACTACAAAATGTCTCAGTTCGAAATTTTAATATGGTAAGGTTCATTTCTTGCTTCTCAAGATTTGATGATTATTTTATGAGATGTTATGATCTCTAGTGCCTGTTACTCGTGGTAACTCCAGCGCACTTGTGTAATTACGAAACAATATGTATTATACTCATTGTTACATCATGATCGCTTGTATTGCCAACGATTTGAAAGATAGAAGCTATAGAAGTTAGTAATAATTACAAGAGCAGCCAATTCCTGCAATAATAACACTTTAATAACAATATTATATTCTGTACTAGCTTTGATTGCGCCTTTCTTCGCGTGCATTCGTAGAAAGACGAGAAACAGAAATAAAAAGTTAATGTTTGTCCTTGTTAGTCTTATCTACTGTATCGTGGAGGCGTTTTAGATAAATAAATTGCAGATGGAAACAAACATTTATTGTTTGTCCTTGTTAGTCTTAAAAAAAAAGTTACTAAACTATCCACAATAGGATTTTCTTCTGAAACGTGAAGGCGTTTTACATAAATAAAATGCAGAACAATTATTTGTAGACCACAGAAACACTTATTATTTACGAATTCGAGCCTACGGGCACAGTATAAATATATAGTAGGAATATTATATATATATATATATATATATATATATATATATATATATATATATATATAATATTATATATAAAATTTTCATATTTATACTGTGCTACGGGTCCGCAACAAAAATTTTAGCCACTGCGCTACTGAGACTGCCTCACAATCACAAAGATAATTGACATTTAAAAGCTCATTTTCTGCTACTCGTTATTGCTTTAAAGCCAAAAATGACCTCCCCCCCCCCTCCCTCCATTTTCGATGTGTCATAAAAATGTGAAATTCGTTAAAAGTATTCTAGTCTTTGTTTAATATTAAAAAGTAAATTTTTCTATAATTCATTACAGCTAGTCCAATGCTAGACGTAGGCCTTCCCCATAAATAGCCTTAAAGGGGAATAGTTGACATAGCACGCTTGACAGGCGGGTTGGCACTTGGCAACCAGTCTTTTTTGTTATTTTGAGTTGTTATCAGGAAAACGTTGCTTTAACTTTATACTTATCCATACCCTTGGCAAGAAAGCGCGTGTGTGCATGTGTGTGTTCGTACCATGTGCGTGCGGTAGTGCGCATGTGTGATTATGTAGTATGTACCTACCATTAGATGGACTGTTGATTGATACTGTTGAACGAGTTAATTTTCTCTGCAACGATTATTTTGAGGGAAAAGGACGGCTTCGCACGGTTGATTTCTGGATCTCGACAACAACGCCACCTACCGGGTCCAATTGTGAATCTAAACCATTCTCTAATCAACTTAATCACACACACAAAATTTCATCAAAATCTGTCCAGGCGTTTAGGAGGAGTTCACATACACACAGACAGAAGAATTATGTAATATACTAGCTGTTCGCCGCGACTTCGTCCGCGTGTAATTTAGGGTTTTCATTATATTGCGCGGAACATACTAGAATCAATATAAATAAATAACTGCAGCAATTTCTTCGATGTCCATTATGTCCAATGTTTCTAGAAGTACGGTACTCGGGTCGATAGCGGTGCGCCGCTGATGTCCATCCGACGAATACGGTGTGCCGCTAGTGCGTTTTTGGCCTAAGAGGATTCAATGTACTAAACTTCAGTGTGTTTTACAGTCTGTTACTCTGAGAAGGAAATTATATTTAGGTATTTATGCTGCAGAAAATAACAAAACGATCACAAAACTACCTCGCAAAAAATTGTTTCATGCTGATTCAACAATGGTTCCATGATAGGAGATTATACATTTTTGCAACAAACCTTGGTGAACACCTCATGTATCATGACAACGCACGCATCCACACACTTGGTGTATAAAATGAGAAACTTTCCAGATAATACACAAAAATATGTTCAGAATCCCACGTAATAAACAGAGTAGGACCTAACAACCGTGGGCCGATTTTAAGAAGTCATAAAATTGACTTTAATTTGCCATTGGAAAGTCGCTCCATATTTTACTCATGTTGGGTTTGCTATATAACTGCTAATAACTAACACGATTCAATATAATTTACATTAGCAAAAAAAACTCGGAGTCATACCTTCGCTACAAGGCTCTTCCGTACAAAGAGCGCACCTTCCCACACAGCCCTAATTTTCGCTAAGTTCGCAAAAAATGTATTAACGTATGTATTTAAAAAAAACACTCCACTGTTCATTGGCTCCTCTTGAATTTCTTGTATGTTATCGTTTACAAAATTTGTAAACTTATTTACAAGAAGTTTCAAATGGGTGCTCCATTACTGAGCAAAATATACTGTTTTAAAAAGAACTATACTTCACCAAGTGTATCTTATTACATGCTCGTAGTTAACAAAAACTATAAATAGGTACCTATATAAAAGTAATTTTAATTAATCAACATATTTTCACTTAACTATAATTTCAGCGCCATATGTAACTGCGGCAGCCGCAACGATCGGCGCTCTCGGTGCCGCGTATTATGCTTATAATTTATACCAGGAATCGCGGAAACCAAAGCTGCCGAATGAATGGAAACAAGTCGGTACGATTAAGGACATTTATGTGTACCCAGTCAAGTCATGTGGCCCGGTTTTATTGAATAAGACCGAATGCACTACTTTGGGCCCTAGGGATGGCTGGCTCAGGGACAGGTATTACATTAATTATTAAATTAACTCAGTTTAATATAATTTACATTAACAACACATTAACTCGTTTACAGAGTGTTAATGGTGGTTGATGAAAAGAATAACTTTATAACTGCCCGTGCTTACCCTGAGTTACTGTTGGTGCAACCGTCAGTGAAAAGTTCAATTCTTACCTTGAAGCATAGTGATATGGAGACACTTACTGTTAATTTAGCAGAGGTAAATATTGATTACATGTTTTCTATTAAGTACATTAATGATTATTATCATAACTTTCAGAGTTCTGGAATATGACGCCTATATTTTTATTTAACGTTATGTTGGTTAACTACAGCAGATAACCACGTTTGTTTTTATTTTGAAACCGCTCGTTTTGTTCGCGCTAAACCTAACGGTTTAGTAACAAATGAATTAACAGGCCACCTGATAGTGGGTATGTGGTTCTTGCAGCCCATGTACACTTACAACTAATTTCAAAATAATAAGGCCAGAGATGCATTGAGAAATGAAGACTAAGATTAAATGTCTCACAATGCCTGTTAATTGTATCTATTATATTAGCTCTTTTACTCTTCTAAGCTAACCGCTCTTTGACGTCTAACAGTAATACTGCTGACAGCAATAATTAAGAAGATGGTAGGTACTAACCCGGGTGAATTCGCGGGTAGAAAAGGAACCTTGCTAGCTAGTGCATGTGCAGGCGACTATGGCATGCGGAGAACAAGTTCTTGTACAAACTGAATTGTATTAAATTCTTTGTAGGGATTGTGCTAGATCTGTCTTATAGTTGTATCGAAATGCCTTCTACCGATATAAGGTATAAAAAATATTAAGCAATGCGTTTTAAAGTTTTTTACCGAGTCTTCAGTTTCAGACCTTATAACTGTTTAATATTCTACACATTAAAGTTCAGAAGACTGTGTTATTATTTTCTCATTAGGTATGCTTTTTAGGTGATAGAAATTCAAAACCCCAAACCTGCTACAGTATGGGGCGTAACCGTTCCCGTATACGACTGTGGCGGGGATGCTAGTGAGTGGTTTTCACGGTGAGTAGTATAGAAATACATTTCTAAATAGATATAGTATCTAATGGCGCGTCTCAACCAAAGTTTTGTTGGCAACACAACATTTGCCAACACGTTTTGCCAACAAATGTTTCTGTCAACAAGCGTCTCCATCGAGGAACAAATGTCGGTAACAAGCGTATTCCTTTGATGTTGCCGCCGAAAAGTATTTTCGGCAAATGTTGTGTTGACAACAAAACTTTGGTGGAGACGCGGCTAAGTCATAATAAATATTTGTCGTTCAAATTATAATCATTATCATAGCCCATAACAGAATTGCTAAATATGAGTTTACATTTTATTTATGTCCAAATTACGAGTAGATACTTGCGTCATGTATATATGTACATCATGATCGTAATAGCGATGTTTTTCCGGCAGATTACTAATAGTTATGAACAGTGGTAGAGCCACGCGGCAGCTTTTGCTGTCGCACGGATGCGGATGGGCCGGCTCGAATCGGGGTGGTACCACGACCTCACAGAAAACCAGCGTGAAGTAGAGGTTTACCTCTGCGTTTCGCTTGGTGAGTGCAGGTGGCCGGAGACCCTTTTTACTGGAAATGAGGCATTCCATCTTAGTCCTCACGGGTGACAACGCATCTACATTTTGATTTGTAATAGAGGATTGATGTAGATGTCTATGGGCCGCAGCAACCACTTACTATCAGGTGGACTGTGTGCTCGTTTGTCACCCTTAGGCCGGCCACATACATACGGAATTCCGTTTCGGAATCCCGAACGCGTCGGCCACACACATACGGAATCCCGTTTTGCCCGCAAAATTTCGAACGGAAAACTACTATACGTGTGTGACGGGTCATATATTTTATATGAACTTGCTGCGTTCGGAATCTCGAATCGGAATATCGAAACGGAATCCCGAAACGGAATTCCGTATGTTTGTGTCGGGCCTAATGACCCGTCACACACGTACGGTAGTTTTCCGTTCGAAATTTTGCGAGCAAAACGGGATTCCGTATGTGTGTGGCGGGCCTTTTCCTATAAAAAAAAGTGAAATACATTAGGTGCCGTTATGTAATATTATTGCATGATAATTTTAACATGTTTGAAGACGACTCCATATAGTTACTACTATTTCCTCAACACCACAATATTAAAACCATTGATTTCAGATTGCTTAACCGGTCAGCCGACAACTTTAGACTGGTGTATTATGCGTCTAATAAAAGCCGCGAATTAAGAAAATCTTCAAAGAAATTCTATAAATTTACCAAAAATGATACGGTATGTAACCTTAAGTTCTATATTTATAACAACTTATAAACGAATTGGGTGTTATTTTACGTTCACCTTACCTCCACACTATACCTTTCCCTGTATAGTGGAAGTATTTAATTTAAATAACTAGGTTAAGGTTTCTTCCGATTGGTTTACGAACTCGCAGCACAGATAAACACTCGTCAATAAAATATTATTAATATGTATGTTTTGTAGATTTGAAACAATGCTTTCATAGAGATCGTAATGAAAGTTGTACCACTGAAAACCAGTGATGTTTCCTCTTCTGCAGTATTACACTGAGTGAGGTCTGTTTAGCCCATTGGCCCAATACTTATGTGACAGTATTGAACTCACAGTCACTACCAACAATAACAGGATAGGTGTGACAAGGTCACTAGCGTTTCCTAGCACGATCTCTCCTCTTTCGATTCCATTCAGCAGCATATTTCTGGACTATCATGGGTTCACAGAAAGAGGCTACGGTCAATCCGATGCGAATTATCAGGTAGCGCCGCTCCGGTTTCTATGCTGGGCGTAATGTGAGCATGTGAGCCTACGTGTTGCAGACTCCTATAGTCCCTTCCAGCATGATGGAATAATACTTGCTGTATCCTAGTCCGATTCATATGGCCTCTGGGTAAGCATATTTCCCGCTTAACTTTGTACATTTTATCCCTACAACGTCGGATGCTCAGCCGCTTTCCGCTCACGTAGCGCTCCGTATTACATAGCCAACCACCACCCTCGGTCCCCCTAGATTGGGCTTTCGATTCCGGGAACTGAGCGTTCGAAGTTCAGGTGAGCTATTAGTTGTGGGTTGTGTAGTTGGTAGTTGTATGTTGGTTTTGAACAATATATTTAATCGGCCTCATTACAAAAAATGGTTTCTATTTAGTCTCAGATTTAAACTAGAATCCATTTCACGAAAATGTAGTATAGAATTGAACAGCTAATGTCACTTTCGCCATAGAATAAATACTTTCGCGAAGACAGTGGCGCCACGGCTAAAGGACTACTTCAGTTAGAAAGACTTCTTAAACCTGAGTAATAAGACGGAATATGTAGCTTCGAGAACTAATAATTATTTTCACAATAGGAAACTAAAATTTAAAATAAGGTATTCCAAAATCAGCGTAATATCCTATATTCAGTTTATATATTGTTTCAGGGTGCTTTGCCGGATGAGGTACCGTTCCATTTGATTAACGAAGCTTCCGTAAACGAGCTTAATAGTCGTCTGAAGGATTACCAGGTGACGCCACGCAATTTTAGGCCGAACTTTGTCGTTAATGGAGCCAAACCATACGATGAGGATAATTGGAAATACATTAAAATAGGAGAAAACATTTTTGAAACAATAAAACCTTGCACTAGGTGAGTAAAGAATGAAATTAGAAGAGTAATTAACACTATAAAGCTACATTTACATTACATACAGTATAAGTTTTTACGTGGTAGAGCCATGCTGCAGCTATATTAGTAGTATAATTGTAGCACGAATGGGTCGGCTGGACAGGGGAAGGACCACGCTCTTACAGAATACCAGCGTAAAATAGCAGTTCAATACTGCTGTGTTTCATATGGTGAGTGTAGAGAACCTTTGTTACTAGAAATGAGGCATTCCATCTTAGTCCTCACTGGTGATAACGCATCTGCATTTTAATTCGTAATCGAAGATAGATGTAGATGTCTATGGGCCACAGTACCCACTAGTTTGTCAACCTTACCCTATAAAAAAAAACATTAATATTATATTTCCTTTTTGGCCCAAAAAAGAAATATTTAATATCTTTCCGTTGCCAAAAGATTCATAAGTCCCAAAAAATTATGCATTTGTTGGCGAAGACTCTTTAGACAACACACTATCCCAGTGCGAGTTCGAAAACTAGGTACACATTTCCTCAAGATACCTCACAATACTTCACTGCTGCGACGCCAAGCATGAGCCGAGCACAGCGCTCTGAATAACAATGTCCTTAGATACCTATATGTCGGCAACTAGATTGCTCAAGCATTTACTATAATGTAATACGGCGATTCAGAACGAAATTGAATCTTTATCATTATGACCATATTACGTGGAAGAGACTATGACAATTGTGAAGTTTCACTCAATGTCATACTCCGTTTTTATTGTTCAAAAATTTAATTAGTAAATATTTGTACAGATAATAATAATGTCCTCCAGATCGAAATTCGGTCACGGCGGCCAGCCTCAACGGAGACTAGCCATCGGCGCAGGACAAGATTATAGTGCCCAAGTTTATGCGCAAGCACAGGTGCGCTCTCTATTCCCTCGCTCTCATAGTCCGACGTGACGGTAAAGCAATACGACCGGAGAGAGATCAGGCACAGAACCAACGGCTTTACATGCTTTCTAAGGCGCGTGGGTGAGACACCGCCAACTTCCCGACTCCGGGCAGCTATTGACAATGTCTTGATGGAAAAACTCAATAACTGATTTTTTTTGGCCCGACTCGGGATTCGAACCCGGGACCTCATGATCAGCAGTTGCGCTACTACAACCACTAGATCAACGAGGCAGTCGTGCGTACAAATACTACATAATTAAAACAATTTTCAGGTGCATTATGACCACAATTGATCCTGAAACTGGCATCCGTAATGCTAAAACAGAGCCATTGGAAACTTTAAAGAGGTAACTTGACTCTTTAAATTTATACGATAGAAAAAGCAGCGATTATTTTAATAATAACAGTCACCTTTACGTTAATTTACAAAACATAATGTGTTAAAACATTGACATCTATTTTCAGACCATTATCAATTGAGTGCGAAGGTCAAAGAATCAAGTAGCTTTAACACAAATACACACTTATCATCATTAATCATTAATCATATACAGTACTGATTGTTTTACTTGGTAGAGCCACGCTGCTAGCTATACATTACTGCAGCACGAATGGGTCGGCTCGACCGGGGAGCCACGCTCTCACAAAATACAAGCGTGAAACAGCATAATAATTCTGCTGTTTCGTAGGGTGAGTGTAGAGAACCGGATACCCTTTTTACTGAAAACGAGATATTCTATCTTAGTACTCAAGGATGACACGTATTATGATTCTTAATTGATGATAGACGTAGACGTCTATGGTCCTAATCATCCACTTACCATCAGGTGGACTATGTGCTCAGCAAATATTCTTGAGTGCCACACCAAAAATGAATCTCAATGAAGAACATTATATGACGTAGTGATAAGAAAATGATTTAAAAGAAATATTTCCAATCTGGTATCTGTTGCAGTATGGATCCTAGACCTTATTTGTCGATTACTGGCTTTGCAACAATTTACTGTTAGGTTTTCACGAATGAAATTGCAGTTTTAAAATACTGACTAGACTAATTTAAACTTAGATTGTAATATAAGATGGATTGGAATTCTAAATTAAAATTCGGTTCATATTAGAGCATGGTGACATTGTTTTTAAAAATTACGTGCATTCAGTTTCCCGCAGTTTACTTTGTATGATACATAATTCTACGTCTGCGAATATGGGAATTTATAACAATGTGTGTAAATATTTTGGAATATGAGATATCTAACCTGTACATTTGTGCTAAGCGAAGCATCAAACGATATTTCATTAAAGTTAATCAGCATTCGTGTACAAGCTATGCTCATTTGTGCGTGTGATAAGAAACGACTACGAGAAATGATTAGAAAGTACCTCACAGTCTCCGCTAGATAGCGATATACCTACAAAGATCCAGTTTACGCCAGACGTAAAATTCTATGCGGCAAACGCACTTGCGCGTTCAATAAATATTTCGTGTGGTGCTAAGAACGTATATGCGTGGTTGAAGAGTCTACCCAGTGCGGCTGGCCGCATTGCGGCGCTTATGTGAGTTTGAAAATTTTCGAGTTTTATGAGTCATAAAACAATTACGGTATATGTAAAGTGTTGCACACGACAGTTTTTTTTTGTAACAATTTTTTCTCAAGTTATACTAGGTTGTAATGTAACCTTAGGAATCAAGCGTTACGTTATTTTTTTCTCTTTTGAATTTACTTTAAGGGGTGGGAGATACAAATCATTCAATTTGTGGTGTGGTGTGGTGTTTGGTGTCGATAGTTATGATTTTCTCAATGGTACGTCATCTGCCGCTGGTACGTCATCTGCTGCTGGTGCGTCAACTGCCGCAAGTCATAGAAAGCGGCAGCAAACCATAGAAAGATATGGCACGGCAAAAAGAATATCTAATAAAACTAAAAAAATTGACCGAGATCTATTTATTGACTGTTACCAGCCATTTTCATTGGTGGAGGAAAGAGCGTATAAAAGTTTGCTCGGTGGATTCCCGGCTAGCAACTGCCAAGTTTTCCACTGTCATGTTATTTGCATTGTAAAATAAAACCAAATCAGAAATGTTATTAGTATTAGGCCTTACAACAGATGGTTTTGAACTCAAAACCATTTTACTCGATTGTTGCAATTTGCAATACTCCCATACCAGTAAAAAAATGCCTCATTGATAAAATAATATTTGCCGCAGCAGACAACGCTACTTAATGTACAGAAGGCAATTGATAACATCGGCTGGGGGCAATTTTGATGTTATATAGTCACACTTTGAATTTAATAGTTCAGGATGCCATCACAACGGTTCAACCAATTTTAGAAAAGGTTAAAAAAATCGTTCACCATTTAAAACAAGTTCCACAGCTTTGGAAAAACTTTTAAAGGTACAAATGAACGATACAGATGGTTATATCGCGAAGCGCCTTGTACAAGAAGTCCCCACGCGTTATAACTCAACGTTTCGTTGAAATGGAGCAGTACATCAGAGCCACACTGGCCATTCTTAAAAAAGATTTTCCTATACATACTTACAAATGATGAATGGAATCTTCTTCCAGACTTGATAAAAATTCACAACCATTCCATCAAGCCACTGACACAATCAGTGGTGAAAAGTACATGATCGGCAGTCTGGTCATTATAATGACACGCTGCCTTATAGCGGGCATGTGATAAACTCATAACAAAGCCATTTTTGGAAACATCTAAAGATGTCCTCTATCGTCTCAGAACAGGACTGGTGACAAGATTCGGCCTTGTGGAACGAAGTAAAACGTTCAGGACATGCACGTCCCTCGATCCTACATACAAATTATCTGTTTTTAGTGATCAGAATGAGGCCAAAAACACGAATAATCGTATCCAGGATATGTTAGTAGTACGCTAGAAGGAACAATTATATATATAATCTATAACAGCCAGTAATACAAAAATTGATGGCTTTCGTGCTATCCTGCACAATTCTTGTATTCTTATTGTTTAGGCCAAATATGGGCATTTGAAATTTTCATCCAATAACGCTTGCCTCAGCGCGTCATCCGATGGTATTGAGGTGAGGTAAACGCCGCCGGGGGGGTCACATTTTTGTTGGCGTTGTCGAAGATATTTATTTGGAAAGAGGAATAGGGCTGTCTCTTATCTTTATCGTTTTACTTAATTCGTCTGTTTTGATCTATGCCGCATCGGGAAATAAATTTATTACAATTTATTTTCAAGTTTTACATGGTAGTTTTGAGTACTGATGCTTTTGAAACTTGGTTGAAATATAATCATAGAACTATATGTTTAAAAAAGCTAGCTAGTTAGGATATTATCAGATTGAAATCAGCTACTGCACAAATAAGTAAATGGTTATATGGTAGATGGCTTGATTATGTCTACATGCGTGAACAAAATCATACTAAGGCCTATATGTGCGTTTTCGTGTGCCTCGCCACTAAGGCCGTTCACTTGGAACTTGTAAGTGCCTTCAGCACTGAAGCCTTTGTGGCTATGCTGGGCCGCTTCGTATCGCGTCGCGGTTTGCCGGACCTGGACCGGTCTGATTGCGGAACGAAATGTGGGGGCACGGATAGATATTTGAAAGAGGTCGTCGGGTTTCTGTCCAGCAACAGGACTTGTTTGGGTGCTGCTATGTCCAGGGGGGCATCCAGTGGAGGTTCGACCCTCCAGCTTGCCCACATTGGGGCGGAATTTTGCGGCGGTGGTTAAGGTTGCAAGATGTGATGGGGTGCCTAGGGTTACCGAGGTTTTGGTTGGAGACTCGGTCTTGCCACGTGCCGTCATGACCTTATCCCGTTTGCCAATTTGCTCGCGGACATAAGTCCTTATGTCCGGGACGGGGGTTTGTTTAGGCCAAATATGGGCATTTGAAATTTGCATCCGATGGTATTGAGGTGAGGTAACCGCCGCGGGGGGGGGGGGGGGGGGGCGTGTGCCGCTTCCCGTCATTCGGCCGCGTGTGCTGGCAACAGTGTCTTGAACGCCGCGGCCTTGTCGACTAGTATTGTCTGCGACCGCTGGGTTGGTTGCGCACGGCCGGTGTAGATTTTGACGGTCTAAAATTTGAGTAAATTGTGCGCGCCTAATTGACTATCGAATATTTGGGTCCCGTTAAGACCGCCTCGAATTGGGTTGTCTGTTTTGAGCGTTACGTGACAACGGCCTATCTTGAGTTTTGAGTGATTAAATTAACTTCCGTTGACATTTATTTGCATCGACGAGTTGTTTGTGCGTCATTTTGATAGCGTGATAAGACATTTGTCTTGTCGGTTGGAACGCTAGTACTTTGTGACTCGAGAGGAGATCGCGTGTGCTCGATTATAATTTGTTGCTAAGTGAACATTGAATATTGAACTTTGACCGACTGTTTTTTACTTGTGCCATGTGTCACTGGTTTGATTTCGATTAACGTGGATTTAGTTAAATTTGAAGCTAATTAAATCTATACATATAATAAAAATGTAAATAGCAGATGTCTGTATATTTTATATTTTTGTAATAAAAGTGATTGAGAAGTACTAAAAATAAGTAATTAAATACATTTCTACCATTTTTAGATTTTTCTGTCTGTCTGTCTGTTTGTTTGTTAACGTATCACGTATAAAGTACTAATTTATATCATAAGAATAGTTAAGTAAATTACTAAGTGTATATTCAGGTTACATTTAGTCTTTATTTCATTAAAATTGGTTAATTCCATCAAAAGTTATAACAAATATTCTGAAGTATGGGTACTAAGTATAGGTACGAATTTGTTCAATAGTGGCGTTGGATGAGTCATCAAGTACATTTTAAAATTAATATCATATTATAAATCATAATTAAATTATGTAAAATAATGTTCTATAATAATATAATTATATCTAAAACGCAGTAAACAAAAGTATTACATAAAGAACGTAATAAATATGTACAAAATATACTAACCTTATTATCTAACTAAACTAAATAAAAGTACAATAGTTAACCAATTTCAACGATAGATGGTGGTGTGGTACAAATGTGATACAAAAAGGCAGGTTAAAATTTTTTCCTGTAGATGAGTTTCATATTTGCTTCTAACCTTTATATTAACGACACGCTGCCCTACTGCGTGTTGACAATCTCATTTATTTTTTATTTTTTTACCGCCGAGTACTCTATGTGGTAAATCAAATTTTAAGAGCTATTAACAATTTGGTTTTTCGGCGAGGATCAAACTTTCTTTTTAGCTTACTATACAGGCACTGATTTATAAGTTCTTTTATGTTTTTTATTGTATCAATCGTGTCAATTAATCTCTTTATTTTTAGAATTGATGTTAACAGCGCCATCTGTCTTTAAATCTATCCAT